TAGGTCGCGGCACCACTTTCTTTTCAATCTTTTGGGAGGGTTGCCAGGCATTGGATTGGTTAAATTTTTAGCTAGGATGTTTGGAAGTAAGTAATTAATACAGAGAAACATKTCTATAAGGGACAATTGTCTTTTCACTGTAACTATAATATATTCTTGTTATTAGAACAGGCTAAATGGGTTGGTCTTATTGGCATGTCATCAATTACATCTTATAATAATACCAGACAAAGTCATTTATTAGCAGAACTCATGAGTTCATGCCCTAAAAAATTCTAAAATAAGTATGCACTTATACACTAAAAACTGGCAAAATATACATTAAAATATGCCTTTAAAAGTGCAAAAATATGCATTTATATGTACTAAAAATCTACAAATATGACGATTAAAAAAATATAGAAATTTCCATTCATATTTGTAAAAGTTATATTTTATTTGTTTAGTTTTAAATTTAATTTAAAATACTTMTTTAAAAAAAACCTATTAATAAGTATATATATTTCATATATCATGTTTCCTACTAATTGCTTAATACGGACTATGTATACATTTGTTTATGTATATACGTACTTACTTTATGCATTAAATACGTTTTATTTTTAATAATTTTACGTTGCAAAAATTCCCATATATTTTAAACAGTGTAGAAATATAAATTATTGCATTTTCATCAAATGTTAGAAAAAATATACTAAATATGCAAAAAAAAACTTCACATATTTAACCACGGTACCTTGAAAAGTATTTCAATGTCACATTGTCACCTAGCATTATATACGACTTAGCAAGATTGATATGCAAATGCATGAACTCACGAGCCCTGTTTATGAGTTATGTTTGAGATGTCTCTAAAAGGGAAGGTTTGATTTTGTGTTATACCTAGATAATAATAAATGTAAAATTGTAAATATTTTTTTGCTGTAATCCTGTATATTGTGAGTAAAAAAAAAATGTTTAAATATTATATATATTTTAAATTAGAATTTTGGTAACATACTAACATGTATGTAAATAWTAATGTATAATAGAACTATTTTGTTAAAGTATTTTGTATTAATAATATTTAAAAATTATTATACTTCAAGGTATCATAAGGCGCAAGAGAGGCGAAGCCTGATCACTTGATAAATTTATACACCCTCCCTAAAAAAAAATTATAATAATCTAAATACTCTACTACTCAGCAAATTATAGTAGTTCAGTAGTTGTACCATAATTCATATATTATTTATATACAGAATGGTATATTTATGAATCCTGTACATTAAAGTGCTACTACATATAGTTGATATTTTTAGAACACTGATTTTCTGTTCCTATGGCCACTGCCCACTGACATTCCAACTAGTATAAGATTTATAAAATTCCAGTTTTGATAAAAAACAATAAATCAAGTATTCCAATRAAAAGAGTGAAAGTACAAACAATAAATTTAAGTTGTAATTCATTTGCACTAAATAAATTATTGACTAAACTCAAATTGGAACTGATTATAAAGATTGATTTTATATTAATTCAAAATAAACAGTATGCTTCAGTAAAATTAATTCTATGGYGTCGACTGAAGATAAAAACATCCCCCTTGATATTACTAATTTATATTAATTTTGAGTTGTTATTTTTACCTTTATCATAAGTTTTGTCAGCTTTGAGTAATCCTCTCTTATAATCTAATGTTCTAAATCTTACACAGCACAAACCGCAGTATACAGAGTCATTAACATCTAAATCTGACAAAGTTGATGGAATTTCATTGTGGCATGACAAGCACACAAGTCCCTCAACTATTTTAAAAAACATATCATCTGTTTCTGGATTCATGCAAATACAACATTTACAGTCAAAATGATACTGTTCTTTCAATGAAGCCTGTCTGTCAACTAATCGCATGCGTCGAAAGTTAGGCCCTAAAATTTTCAAAATTATGAACAACAATATTACAATATTATTATTCTACCTATTTTTATTGTATATTCACCATAGCAATTAGTAATTTCTTCTCCTTTGTTAATATCTCGTGAAGCTTTAATGACAACATACTTCAGTATATTACTGGAAAGATTATTCCAATTAAAAAATGATTGAATTAAAAGTTAAATCAATAAATTTACCTTGAAAATATATTTGGGTCGCATGAGTGATTTAATAAACTTGAAGTAGGAAAAATAGCTGTACCAATGCGTGGTTGCGATTCATCAATAATTGAAGTAAATGATCCAGAGTCATAATCTGACAACATATGAGTTGAAATAGCATTTCCATTACACACTAATCTTGTCATATGGTGTAGTAATTCATTGCCCACAGAATCCAACCTAAGATTTGGATGTTTTTGAAAGAAATTGGTTTTCTTTTTCAAGTATAGCAGCAAAAGAGTGGCAGTCTGGAATAAACAAATAAACATTACATYTCTGTTTCTATAAATGATAACTTAACTTAGTTTAAATGGACTCATTCTAAAATAAATCAAAATATTTTTAATGACAATAATTAGTGGTTATTTTTAAGTAATGTATAGTTATATTTTAGTTATCAGTCATATTAAACTACCATACTATTAACATTGGAAATATATTTAATTTGTGTAAAATAGATAAATTACCAGACTGTATTGGTATAGCTCTAATGGTTTTAAATCATCAATATGTGTTAAAAGATAATAAACATGATTATAATTTCTGTTTGCTCGAGAAGTTTCTAACGTCAAACGTAATGCAAGATGGGCAATGCCAATACATTTGAAAATTGATGTTCCCTGTTTACATTCCCAACGATGATATGAATTCTTTGCTTCTTGAAGACATTTATCACCACAAAACAAAATTGTGCAACAGTTATCACATCTGGAAAAAAATTTATTTACTTTACTATAATTATCTTTACATAAAAATTAATTATTAATTGGAAATTTAACATCACTTACGGTATAGAATAATATTTCAATGGTATGCAACAGTTATAACAAAATGAATTGTAATATTCTGGAAGTAACACAAATGCAAATGGATTTTCAAATATTAAAAGTTCTCCATATTCTATTTTCGTTGAAGCAATAAATTGTCTTCCTTTAGCTTCTGAATAACTAAAATAATTTTTAAACCTCAATAGATAGATAAAATTATAATATTTATAAATAATTGTTAAACATATTTTCATACTTAAATTTCTTTCAAAAGTAAGTTTTGAAAAAGATCTTGGGTTTTTAAAGTATAAATCAATAATTATCAAACAAAATGGACAAGGTTAGACAAACATTAGGTAATACTTATTAGCAGGGCTCGTAAGTTCATGCAATAAAAAATGCATAAATTAGCAATCATTCATGCACTAAAAATTGGCAAAATATGCACTAAAAATTTAGAAATATGCATTTATATGCACTAACATTTTTTAATTAAGCACTTCAATCATAAACAAATAATAAAATAATAAGATATATCTAGTAATTGATTTTGATACATTATATAACACTTAATATTTATATATTTATATATTTAATTCATATACCTTGTAAAATATAAAAATTTTTTTTCTTTACTAATCTTAATTCTTAATGTTTATTTTTTTTTTACAAATATAAATTTATAGATTTTCATACACATGTTATACACGGAGGAGGATAGTAGTAGTAATGGATAACATTGTTTTTGCGGTACTGCATAAAACCAATAAAATTGTACAAAAATAAGAATAAATTGAAACCATTACTATATAATTTTAAAAATAAAAAAGTAAATAACAAAGAATTCAAATATTAATTTGTTTAAAYATGTTATTTTATGAGATATTATGAGCTAATAACTCTAAAAAATCAACTACATGCCAATTATGCTTTAATACTCAAAATATGCAAAAACATGCACTATTAATCTTCATATATCAATTACTATAGTTATGAAAAGGATTTTTATCTCTGTTACCATATTTTCCTGAGTTGCAAGAAAAACATGCAAATGCATGAACTTACGAGCTCTGCTTATTAGAAATAATACATGAGTACTCAATACATACTTAGTAAATGAAGCCTCATTCTATATAATATATTATCTAAATGGGCCAACATAAAATCC